ATGAAGACATGTAGACATGAAGACACAAAGACACGTAGACATGAAGATATGTAGACATGAAGACATGTAGATATGAAGACATGGAGACATGGATACATGTAGACATGAGGACATGAGGTAGTCTTACGTTGGTGGTCTTCTTGTAGTAGTCGATGTGGTGGACGTCTCGAGCGAGACCGAAGTCAGCGATCTTCATGACGTCGTCTTCTGTGACCAACACATTCCGGGCCGCCAGGTCTCTGTGAATACACTGAGAGGAGACACAGCAGCGTTACATTGCCTTCAATTTTATTGTCGTCAAAGTTTCACAGAATTTTTGACATTAGTTTCACTGAGGAGCTCAGAATTTAATAAAAGTTTCGGTTGCTTTCTCTGATGGAAGCGTGCGTCACACATGGTGTGTTGAAGGACATGAGAATCTGACAATAATGACGTTTTTTACAGCTTCTGTAGTTTTGGCGATCATTTAAAGAAAACATGCTTTTCGATCCAGCCGGAGAGTTTTGGGGTTCAGAGGTTTACTAACGGGGCGTTTCAGATTCACACTGACTGACCTTCTTGGAGGCCAGGTAGGCCATCCCTCGGGCCACCTGGTACGCAGCCGACACCAGCTCCCTAACCTCCAGACTTCCCAGAGACGCCTGCCTCGGCCCGCTCCAGTACTCCAACCCGACCGGTCGGCGAGTGCGGAGGAACTCCCTCAGGTTCCCCTGCGAGGCGTACTCCACCACCACGTACAGGGGGCCTAACGGATGAGGACGAGGTCAACCGCTAACATCTGGACAACACACATCAACACCGACAGGTCGTCACTCATCGTGAACACACTCACCGCCCTGAGTGCACGCTCCCAGCAGGTTGATGATGTTCTTGTGTTTGCCGATCATCTTCATCATCTCCATCTCGGAGATCAGGTCAGAAAGGTCCTTTTCTGTGGCGTCCGCTGCACACGACAACAAGACGGCCTCGGGTCAAAGGTCAAATCATTCTGACTCTCATGTGACGAGAGTGAGTGGATCAACATCTGGACTATAAGAATAAACTAAAAGAATATTGAACTAATTAATATCAACATGAAACTACCCCAGTTGATTACTTATATTAAGACAATTTATAATACAATTTTTCTGAAATGTTATGTTTAAATATGCAAATGTCAACGTCATTCAGTTTCGAAAGCAGCTCTCACCTTTCAGCATCTTCACAGCCACCTTAGAGAGGCGCGTCGGTTTATTTCTGTCGACCCCGACGGCTTCGGCCAGAACCACCTGACCGAAACATCCTTCACCTAGCGGCTTCCCCAGAGTCAGCCTGAGGACGACACGCAGCAGACATGTTACCGACATGTTTTCAATACGTTAGACATGTTACAGACATGTTATCAATACGTTAGACATGTTACAGACATGTTATCAATACATTAGACATGTTACAGACATGTTATCAATACGTTAGACATGTTACTGACATGTTATCAATACACTAGACATGTTACGACATGTTATCAATACGCTAGACATGTTACTGACATGTTATCAATACGTTAGACATGTTACAGACATGTTATCAATATGCTAGGCATGTTACCGACATGTTATCAATACGTTAGACATGTTACAAACATGTTATCAATATGCTAGGCATGTTACCGACATGTTATCAATACGTTAGACATGTTACAAACATGTTATCAATACGTTAGACATGTTACTGACATGTTATCAATACGCTAGACATGTTACTGACATGTTATCAATACGTTAGACATGTTACTGACATGTTATCAATACGTTAGACATGTTACAGACATGTTACAGACATGTTATCAATACGTTAGACATGTTACTGACATGTTATCAATACATTTGACATGTTACAGACATGTTATCAATATCTTAAACATGTTACTGACATGTTATCAATACACTAGACATGTTACGACATGTTATCAATACGTTAGACATGTTACAAACATGTTATCAATACGTTAGACATGTTACTGACATGTTATCAATACATTAGACATGTTACTGACATGTTATCAACACGTTAGACATGTTACCGACATGTTATCAATACGTAGACTGCAGTCAGTCACTAAATACAGGAAATAAACCAGAATCAGGTGAAACCACAGACCTTATATAAGAAGTGGTAGAGACCTGTCAATCACTGTGTAGCCCCGCCCTAAAGCATCCCCTGCTTTATGGTCTGT